TAGCATGGTTTTTTTTTTTCTTTGCATCACAATTAACGTAGATGTTAAATAAGGGATTTTTGGCAGCATTTACAGGGGAATTATTAAGCATTTCTCCTTTCGTGGCAAAGAAAAATTATGAAATGTAGTCCCGGCCTGAGCATATAGTAAGTTCAAAATGTGAGATTGTATCCTCTTTGAAATCTCAGGTCTTGAGGTGGTACAGTACAGACCCAGTTTGAAGTCACTCAGACGAAATGAAAGCATGACCCTTGTAAATGTGCAAAACTGGGCCAAAATTGTACATTTAAATACTCATACATAGCTCACTTCCTGTACATTTTAGTATAGGGCAACTTTTTTTGTACGTCTTGGGAGTGCTACACGTGCCTCCCAATTTTTGTAGGCCTGGGTCAAACATATGGGATAGGACTCCATTAAACATCTGGGCAGTGTGCGATAGACTCTTTTTTTTTCGTATCTGTGAATGACATTATACTATAACATTTTTCAACAATCCCCTTTGTGTATGTGAAGTTTGGTGAGTTTTCGTGCATGTTTAGGCCCTCAATAATGCAATTCATTTCAGCGAATCATAATCATAATTTCCCCAAAAACTAGACTCTCCCGCAAAGTTTTTTTTTTTTTTTTTTTTTTTTTTTCTTGTGGCCCTAATTAGAGGTGTGTTTCTAACATGCTCAGAGGCAGTGGTAATATTGCATTGCATTTTGTGGGGCAGGGCACTATCAGATCCAGCAGATGGTGCTGTGGTGAAAAGGACTCTGTCAACACTTAAAAAAAAAAAAAGAAAAAACAGAAAGAAAGAAAAAATAGAAAAATCTGTTTGCAGGGGTAAGAACTGAAGAACATCTGCCTGCCTGCAAGGCTGGAGGGGGCCGTAAACTATTGTGATGAATAAAGGCTTCAGACAGAGTCAAAAGGAGACAGTAGCAGCAGTAGTGCCTTCATGGTTGTGGCAGTACTGATTACTGCTGGAGCACACATCCTCTGCCAACCAGCCAGGTGCCCCCGCCCCGCAACCTCCTGTGCTTAACACACAACCTCTGTAGTATGACGGCGGCTGCGGAAGGGCGACAGAAATTTGGAGACTGCTGAGCTGCAGCAGATCACTTCAAAGCAGCTTATTTAACGCTCACTAAATTTTTCATCATCGTTGCTAAATATCCTGGGGAAGAGGAGCTTTTGAAGTTACAGCGAGAGCAGGGATGTTTCTACAATTCTTTGTCCCACTCTTTAAAAAAAAAAAAAAACACACACACACAGTTTACACATGAAAGTACAATCTAAATAAAAGTGCAAATAATGACAAAAGCGATATCGTCATATTTCACTCTTTGCAAATTCGGTTTCTCCCAAAATTGTACTCACTATATCACTGGCCATTTGGCACATATTTCATTTTGATTTTGGTATTTATTGGCCTGTATAGAAGTATAAAGACTTAAATTAAAGAAAACAACATTGAAGACACTTTTAACGGCAGAGAAGGAAAGAGACTAAACAAAACACACAAGCACAAAGACAGAACAGAGGCATGGGAGACACCAGGAAGAAGCTAGAGAGGGCCCCCCCCCACCACCCACAACATGGTTCATGGGTGGGGAGGAGGGGGGGGGCGAGTAGTGGGCAAAGAACAGTGCCGGAGGCAACAAGAGCGGCTGGCAGCGACTGGTACACCAGTCAATCATGGTTGTCCCAGTCTCTCCCACCCTATCGCTCTCTCAAAACAGGTTCAGACTGGCCCCTCTGGCCTAAGTAGTGGCAGAGGCTGTGACAATGCTCACACTCAACTGGACCCCCATTACCACAAAGGAAAGCCCACATTGTGCAGTATACCGGGGCCTGCCGATTTGGTCGAGGTGGGTCGGAACCTCTTAACTGAACTGGTACGCACGTGTGCACATAAATGAGATACAAATGTGTGCACACGCCCTCCCTCCGATTGCCCTCTGTCTCACTCTCTTGCTCACTCGCTCAATGGCCTCCCAACCCTGCCAGCACTCTCTTTCCTCTCAACCAGATAAAATCCTTTCAGACACAAATTTCAATTATTCACCTCATCCAAATAATGCCATGTGACAAGAATTATCCCTACTGTAATAATCCACTTAACTGGGAAAGAACAGCTCATCAAAAAGAGAAAGGAGAAAAGGGACTGCAAGTGAGGGCAGTGCTGTGTGTGTCTGTGTGTGTGTGTGTGTGTGTGTGTGTGTGTGTGTGTGTGTGTGTGTGTGCGCGCGCGCGCACATTGTTGCTGCTTGTCAAGCAGTCTCGAATCAGAACCCTGCTTAACAAGAATTTCTTCCCTTTTTGAGAAGGCCGACTTGAAGCGCAGTGGGAAGATGAAATTGAAGTAAATTGAAAGAAAGCCTGAGAGAATGCTCCCACAATCAATAACCCCAGGATTAAATTAGGCTTGGCATGAAGGCATGATGCGGGGGTGGGGGGAGGGAAGGGGGGATGTGAATGATGGTGACTGACATTGAGATATGTTGGTGAAACAATAGCCCACATTCCGAACCTGGATACTATGCTGCACCCGCACAAGGACATTTAATGTCCAGTACACTCTGATGTGATGTGTTCCCTCCACTGCTTGGCAACAGCAATTCCAATTTTTGATCATGGTCATCACATGGGAACTTGCTTCTGTGTAACACTTGACACGCTGCCGTTGAAAAACAGCCGACACGACTTAAAATGTTGCCAAACTTGAATTCACCACTTGCATTAAATGAGTCAATGTTTCAATTGCTCAGTTGTGGGGATGCAACATGATTGACAGGAGATTGACTTTTTAGCAATACAGTATTTTGCCGGTGCAAAATTCAGATTGATAAATATGAAAAACACTGGAAATACGTAAAATGCATTTCACTGAAAGGAGGAGGAGGCGCTACGAAGACGGTGGATTGCAGAAAAAGGAAACACAAATAAATGATAAAGGTTTTATGAAAAACATAAAAAGGGAAGTCCTACGCAGTCCCAGGAGTCCAAGCACAGCATTCTTATTATGACTGTGTTTTTGAAATATGAGATGAGGAGCAAAATCCACCCGATTTTGTCCATCAGGAGGCGGCCATTTTGCCAACACAATATCACATTATCAGAGTGCAGTGTTTAGATTAGTGGAGGGACATAGAATATATTATTGTCAAATTTAGTTGTTGACTTCCCCTTTAATGGGGATATATGAAAAACAGACCTTTTAATTGCTTGTGTACAAATTAGGCTTTGCCCCGATCTGATCGGCTGTATCGGATCAGACGATATTTACCATTCTGTGCTAATTTCATGATCGGCGGTCAAACCTTTATTGGCAAATCCACGAATTAAAGCATTTCATCTGCAGTGTTTCCCAAATATACATTTATTTATGGTGGGACACCACAAATTTTGGCCGCAACAAAAAGAGTGTGATGCTACCTGCCTATACTGTTGGTTACAAATGTTTTCACCTTGTTTTGCTGCACAAAGATTGTGCCGTTCTGCTCCTTGTGTCTGTCTGCTAATCAATATTGCTTTTTTTCCTTTCTGATATGGTTCTGCAAATACAGTATCTCAAATAACTGAAGTATCAAAAGTATCAACATTTACATTTGGGAATCGATCTCAGAGCATAAGATCTGGTGTCAGCGACATCAGCATTTCAGACTGTGTCGATCAACACACCGCAGCAGCAGGCGTAACGGTCATCTTGTCACAGCATATTCAGTGCTGTTCGTTTTTTTGTTTTGTTTTGTTTTTTTTGTTTTTTTTATATAATTGAATCAGGTGTGTTGGATGAGGGGAACATCTAAAACATGCAGGATAATGGCCTTTGAGGACCAGAGACGCCCACCCCTGCCCTATGGGGTATGGAAACTCATGAGCACAACTGTTGTTGTAATTTCATGTATTGCATGGATATGCAAACATTGTTCCTCCAATCCTTTCTTTGAAATTGATCAATTTTTTCAAGCGAAAGCCTTTGGGCTACGCATGAGTACTATTATGTCACAGTCACAGATAAAAGGTAAGCAGGGCGGCATTTTTGACACAAATTACCATTAGCTAATAGTGTTAAGACTGTGTAAGATTCTGATGACAAATACTCATCCGATGTTTGGCGAAAGTGGTCAACTGGGGGTGAGTCTTATCTTGCCCGCTGCATGCACCACATGTATGGATCTGAACATGAATACAAATAATTCTCTTGCTTTGCCATTTTGGGGGCTGGTGTAAGACTATGGGCCTTTTGAGCACACGTTGGCACTTGTGTAGTTGCACTTACTTGGCTTCACGCCTGGTCATCATTGTAGTGAAAGCCATACACTGGGTGAATATTGGCTCATTTGTATGTGACAGAAGCCCCCCGCCAAAACGGAGTAATTTCATCGAGAAGGTTACAAATAGATGCTAAATGTAATGCAATTCTTTATCCTTTTATTTAGACACCTGGGAACTGTTTAAAATTGTGAAAAAAAATACATAAAATACATAATTGGTATTAATGACAATATGCACCACTATGCAGTATTTTTTTTACCATCCAAAGATTAGGAAATATGTGATTTAAGAACATCACAGGACAGCCTGGCAGTTAACCCCTGAAGATCGCTACTAAAAACATGCAAAAAATATATTATATCATGAAAATCCCATTGTTACTCAAAAGGTGGATAATTTTCACTCTTGCCAAGCTTCATTTAAAAAGTCGCAGCCCTGTGAATCACCTGTTTACTATTTAAAATGTTACACACACTAGAGATTTTAAGATACATGATTGAGAATCACGACATGCCGCATAATTAACAGTATAACTTCCCATCATTTATTAAAATGTATTCATCGCAACGTGTTTTCCTGATTACAGGAGATTAAAATAAATATCTAATATGCTCCTACTAATACGTGCTCGCATTCAAGAGAGACAGCAGAGTGAATTTCTGCTACAGATTCTAGTCCTCGTTGCCTTATCAGTGAAGTTGTTTTTAATTACTGAAAAGTTGACTCCTTACCAGTGCTTCTCTGGGGGGAGCTGGTGCATCGTTTCGAGGAGGAAGGCCAGCCTGAGTGTCAACAAGAAGCAGTATTAGAGTGCCACCTGGTGGATGACCGATGTAGTGAATGGTTACCTGAATAGTCACGTTGGCCCTGAAACCAAAGCCTGTACGTAGTGTATATGATGAAAGCTTTAGTACTTTTAGTATTAATCGCAGATACTTACCTGGCCTTAACAGTTACACCATATTTGTTAACAGTATATTATTTTCCTACCTACTGTATTGACCATGTGCATGTTCGACAAACTCTGACAGAATGTCCATAATTAAAATTAAGCACAATCAAGAGCAAATTTCAACAAGATACATATGGCATACAGCAATGGTAAATTATCACATTTGGACAAATGGGTAAAGGATCAAAATCATAGTCTTCATCAAATGTCTTCAAAATTTCACCAAAAGATTTGGTAATTGCAATAACAGTACAGGTGGGCAATTAAATAATCGTATTGTTTATTTATTTTAATTATATTTGTCTGACACCCTCCCTTGTCACTGTGCCCATCTTCATCTTTTTTTTTAAACTAACCTTGCAGACTATGTCAAATATAATTTTGAATATAATTTATTTTTTGGTCACGTTGTGAACCACTGAAAAATGGATGACGAGCCGCAAATGACCCCAGGCAGTTTGGGCACCGCTGCAGTACACACTAGTCTAGGGGAGCAGGGGGGTCTTGTCAACTGCAGAGCATAGACAAACAACCATTCACACATTCATGGACAATTCAGTCTTCAATTAAGCTAACATCGGTCTGCCAAAAGAAGAAAATCTACACATACACGCCCAAAGCAAACTTACATCCTCCAAACAGTAGCCAAGTTTTGAACAAAACATATTGATTATGAGGCAGTTGGCAGATGTGCTTTCTTGACTTTCAGATTTTTTTTGTGTTTTTTGTAGCAATTTCAAATTTTGCCTAAATGAGCAGTGCCTTATAAATAAAATGTATTATTATTATTATTATTATGACCACCACCACCATTAATCCACCATGGTGACTAGGGCATCTCCTTATGGAGAAATACATTATAATTTGAAGCACCTCATTCAATATTCAAGCAACTACCCACCTTGAAAGTCGAACACTGTCAAGCATTTGAAATAATTTCAAGCACACGTAGGAAGTGAATTTTGGCTTTAGCTTGTAAATGTTTAACGTATCTCGAAATACAGGATCTCGAAATACACTTTCCAATTCACCCGCTTTCTCTGGCTATGTATACGACAGTTTCAAGCAGTAACAATGTAAAGTTATGCCTTTATTAAATGAGTATAAGCTATATCGATGTATGTAGAAAGCGTGTTTATTATTCACGGGGGAAAGAACAAGTGTCACAGCTGCGAATTTATTTTAATACAGTATTCGAATTCAAGATTGAAGGCTAATAAGGACACCTTTGCTAGCCTAGTCCGTGTTACAATGAAAATGTAAACTTTATAAATCTCGGTATGATTCGAATATCTGCACCACTAACATTTTACTGTGCCACAAAATGAAAAGTGTTTCAAAGTTTACAACTGCCTTTCTTGCTTTGTTTTAGTCAACAGGGCATGGAAGTTATTAAACAACCACAAAGTTCGCGAACCTTGCCGTTATGACCATGTCAACTTGTTACCTGCACATCAACACGGTTCACGTGTTTGCTCCGGTGTGTAAATAACACGCGACAAGGGTGTGAGGATATTTAAGAGTTTGCACTAACATTTAGGGTGGACAGTATTTTAGTTACCTTTGTGGAGCAACTTTTAAAACGCTTTCAAAATATTGCTAACTAGCTGTTATGCTAACAATCACAGCATGAAAATAGACAGATTAAACCAAAGTAATTGCCATTTAAAGAACAATGTGCACGCCGCAGGGGTGTATACTCGTGCATATGGATATCAACAGGCAAGTGACATTATTTGATAGCTGTTGACCTTTGTTGGTGAATCTGACTGGTCCGTGGATGCCATCTTCCTGTTAGCATCGAAGGCTGCTCGATGTTTGATTGCTTCTGCCTGAGCTCAAAGGGCACTCGCTGACCAAAACGGAATATTTGCATTAAATATTAAGTGACCAGATTAAAAAACAAACAAACAAAATAGTATATTTTCTGTATGTGAAACAAAACATGTAATTTTTAAAAAAGTGTTCCGTGATAAACGTACGCAAAAAAACTACAGATCCCAGAGTCCTTAGCGTCACGCCGGTCCCGTATTCTAAACTGCCAACTACTGAGAGCTGTCTTCTGCTGTCCTATTAATCATAATTGTTGGGCGTTTCTGCGTATAATGGCGGATCGAAAGCCGTGTAAGGTGTGCAACTTTACACGCCAGAAGTCATATGGCGTGGTTGTTCCATCGCTCGAGGAACTTAAGGTAAAAGGTGAGATGATACATATTTTGAACACTACGTTGTTGGGGCTTAGCTTGATTAAAATCAATGGTGTAGTGCCTGTGCACTAATTCCAAGGGTTAGGGTAAAATCGAATCTAATTTTTAAACTACCTAATATGAACGAGGCTGTGATCGGCATTTATCTTTTCGATTTAAAACAGAAAGGCAATGAGTCGTGTATTAAGGTGTTACAAAGCAGTCGTCTCACCCATTGCTATCGTGGCCAGTGGAACTTATCTCACATGATCAAGAGCTGGCTTTTCGTCTAGCAACATTTCTAACGTGTCGAAACTTGCATGAGGTGAACGCAAAACGAGTCAAGAAGATACCTCCCTCCTGTCTTTCCATTCCTAAAATGCTCGTCAGCGCCAGGCGTTGGTGTGTGTGTGTGTGTGTGTGTGTGTGTGTGTGTGTGTGTGTGTGTGTGTGTGTGTGG